AACTCGGGACTTGACATTTGATATGAGACATCTTTCAGAAATGTTTCAATCAACCTTTCATATATCCATGCACATTTTACCAACCCCTGAACCCCGAAATTGTGGACTGCCAGGTCTCGGGGTTCGGGGGTCCCGGAACTCGGAACTCGGGAAATTTGGGGAGATCAATAAAATTTGATTTACCCATGTTGAAAATATATTTTTGTTCTACATACCAAGTTCCGAGTTCCAGACCCCCGAACACCGAGACCCGGCAGTCTCGGGGTTCGGGGGTCCCGGCACTCGGAACTTGGGGAGATTTGGGGAGATCAATAAAATTTGATTTACAATTGAGTTGATTGGCAAACACATTGACTTACCCATGTTTGAAATATATTTTTGTTTACACATACTGAGTTCCGAGTTCCGGGTTCCGGACCTCCGAACCCTGAAACCCGAGACCCGGCAGTCCACAATTCTGGGGTTCAGGGGTTGGTAAAATGTGTATGAATATATGAAAGGTTGAATGAAACATTTTTGAAAGATGTCTCATATCAAATGTCAAATCCTGAGTTTCAACTTCTGGATTTTGGGAGTGCCGAGTCCCGAAACCTGGAGTCTTGAAACCCGAAATTCGAAACTCGGGACTTAACATTTGATATGAGACATCTTTCAAAAATGTTTCATTCAACCTTTCATATATTCATACACATTTTGCCAACCCCTGAACCCCAGAATTGTGGACTGCTGGGTCTCGGGTTTTGGGGTTGGGGGGTCCAGAACTCAGAACTCAGTATGTGTAAACAAAAATATATTTCAAACATGGGTAAGTCAATGTGTTTGTCAATCAACTCAATTATGAATCAAATTGTATTGATCTCCCCAAATTTCCCCCGAGTTCCGAGTTCCGGACACCCGATACCCGAGACTCAAATTGTATTGATCTCCCCAAATTTTCCCAAGTTCCAAGTTCCGGACACCCGACACCCGACACCCGGCAGTCTCGGGTATCGGGTGTCCGGAACTCGGAACTCGGGGGAAATTTGGGGAGATCAATACAATTTAATTTACAATCGAGTTGATTGACAACACATTGACTTAATCATGTTTGCAATATATTTTTGTTTAGACATACCGAGTTCCGAGTTCCGGACACCCGATACCCGAGACTGCCGGGTTTCGGGTGTCGGGTGTCCGGAACTCGGAACTTGGGAAAGTTTGGGGAGATCAATACAATTTGATTCACAATCAAGTTGATTGACAAACACATTGACTTAACTATGTTTGCAATATATTTTTGTTTAGACATACCGAGTTCCGGACACCCGATACCCGAGACCCGGCAGTCTCAGGTTTTGGGGTCCGGGGGTCCAGAACTCAGAACTCGGTATGTCTAAACAAAAATATATTGCAAACATAGTTAAGTCAATGTGTTTGTCAATCAACTTGATTGTGAATCAAATTGTATTGATCTCCCCAAACTTTCCCAAGTTCCGAGTTCCGGACACCCGACACCCGAAACCCGGCAGTCTCGGGTCTTGGGTATCGGGTGTCCGGAACTCGGAACTCGGTATGTCTAAACAAAAATATATTGCAAACATGGGTAAGTCAATGTGTTGTCAATCAACTCGATTGTAAATTAAATTGTATTGATCTCCCCAAATTCTCCCAAGTTCCGAGTTCCGGACACCCGATACCTGAGACCCGGCAGTCTCAGGTTTCGGGTTTCAGGGGTTGGTACATCTCGGTTTGGGGTTTGGCACTGAAAATTTGACATATATATTTTTGTGAGTGTTGTGCTTCTGGTGTCCATGCTTAGAAATAGGATTTGTTGCACACCAGGGTTCAGGTGTGGGGTTTTTCCACTTCAGTCCTGGATTATTGGTCAATGCCACACATGATAGATTCATGTTTTTGTGCTTAGGGGTTTAGATTTGGTGGTTGATGGTAGGTATATGCACTCATAGTGTACATGTATCCTATGTGTTTGATTCGCTGGTGGCTACATCAGCTGTATGTCTTGATGGAACATATCTAGGCTCACCCATATATGTAATACACCCCCGACGGCCCGCCCATCTATGTATTATCCCCCACGTCAGCCAACCCATCTATGTAATACATCCTATGTTGGCCCACCCGTCTATATAATACATCCTGCATCGGCCCACCCGTCTATATAATTATACCCCACCTCGGCCCACCTGTCTATGTAATAAATATTTTATAGCACCCTCGGCCCACCGGTCTATTTGATATCCCTTTCGTCGGCCCACCCGTATATGTAATACATTCCATGTCGGCCCACCTGTATATGTAATACACCCTACGTCAGCCCACCCGTCTATGTAATATTTCCCTACCTCGGCCCACCCATATATGTAATACACCCACGTCGGCCCGCCCGTCTATATAACAATATTTGTCTTACATCTCTCTTCAGCCCAGCTGTCTATAATATCCTACTCTACATATTACCCAGATGGGCCCACCCATCTCCATGAATGATCATATTCCCCCGGCCCATCCGTCAACATTAAGGATATATATATCATTGGCATACATGGGCCCACCCGTCTCCATCGGAAATAATATGTGTCCCGGCCCATCCGTCATCATCGAGAATATACACAACATGGGCCCATGATCAGCTGGCCCGTCTCATACGGGATATTATGGAGGTTGGGTGGCCCGTATAATACGGAATTTGTCACTGAAGGGGCTCTATCCCTACACCTACTGTCTCTCCTTGACATGAACGACAGTCACTCCAACATCAGATGCCCCCACAGTCAACCTGTACAGATGCTCCGTCACCCATGTTTCACAATGGAGCAATTCATCGAGGCCATTCACTTGGTGCAGAACGGTCACGGTAAGTCTTCATTATGATATTCTCAAAGCATTTTCTCATCCTCACATTTTACACAGTTCCCCTGTCATCTCCTCGACCATACGCGTGGCCTTACCAACCTGAAGACCAGGTGTGTCCAGTCCATGCGCAAAGGGGTATGTTGAACTCGCCTTTGTTTTTTCTTTCATTTTACTCATAATTACACAGTTTTGAATAGTTCAGATGACAACTCCACAGACATCGAGGACAATTCTTCAAATGTCAAGGACAATTCCTCAGATGTGTCTATCGATGATCTTTGGATTGGCTCTGAGATGGTCCTTGCGGATAATGGTTTCAAGTCCTCCTCCTCCAATGAGGGGGATAATGAAGCGGAGTCTGACACCAGCGCTGAGACACTCGTTGACCTTGACCCTGCTAGCCATTTCGATTGGTTCGTAACCACCCGCGTTGTTGGTGTAGGACTCTTTAGCGAAATGTAGGCATTTTTTTAAATTGATTCCGGTCCATAACACATCTAACTATACATAGAATTACTGCCCGGATGCTTCGTGCCCCAGGTACAACGGTCCATTACTTTGTCACCCTCCGTGAAGCCATGCAGCATTTCTGTCTTGCTTTGGCAATGTGGAATGGCGAGACAGTTTAATGTAAATGTAGTTGTTTCTGTCGCTACTTGTCGCTACATACTTATTGCTATGTACCTAAAATATTGTGGGATGTCCCCAATGAACAATCTATGTACTCCGTCGCCAGATGGATATATGTGTTTGACAAAATATTGTGGGGTATCCCTAATGAACAATCTGTACCTCGCAGGCAATATCATATACAATAAGCTTTGCACTCAGATTGGACGTATTCAATGAGTCATAGCCTAGGCCTCACAATAAGCTTTTTGCTCCAGCCAAACGTGCTACATCAGGTAACCGACACAAAAATGATAAACTCATACAATGCTTTATCTGATCTACAATATGTACAATATGAATCATAATTGTACTTCACATTACAAAGCTTTAAATACCCGGACTCTGTGGGATGAAAATGGCCAAATATGTATTTTTGATAGTCTTGTTGCAAATACCTGCCAGCTTGTCATCAAGATGGTATATTTTGTAATATCTGCCAGATGCTGCAAAATTGATCAATATGCATCATAATTGTACTTCACATTACAAAGCTTTAAATACCTGGACTATGTGGGATGGAAATGGCCAGATATGTATTCTTGATAGTCTTGTTGCAAATACCTGCCAGATGCTGCAAAATCGATGAAAGCCTCCATGGTCTCCAATCTGAGTATTAGTGCCATACACTTGCAGTACACTACAATTTTGGCCTGTCCTGGTCATCACTTATATCTTTTGATAGGGTTTTCTTCTTGTATAATATCTAAATAAATTTCAAGATCAGACAGGGGTTTATATGGCTGGACTATTTTGGATCACCACCACCAATGGGTAAAGGATGTGGAATAACTGTAGTGCAATATCATGATGTACTGATATGATTGTCACATGCAAGTTGTGCTTCCTATTGGAACCTTGACAAGATCTCTCTTGTTGCTGATATTAGATAAGTCATTGTGACACTAGACACCATTGTCCAGATTTTTCAAGTACACAATGTAAGTAATGAGTGACAGTGAGTTATCATCCTACCCGACTCTGATGAGTGATGATCATGGTATGCAACTGAAGGTTGTTATTTTATCTTGAAAAAACACTCTCTGAATGCTGTTATCCTCTATAGCCTTCCAAGGCCAGACTGTTTTGGACTGGGGCTGACTTTGGTTCAAAGTTGCGATGTGATGACAATGTGTTGACTTTCGCCAGCTGGCTGCTGGGGTGTTATCACTACATTCCATTTCAGCTGATCATTTTAATTCCCCTCAAGCTCGAACATAAAGTTAGCTGCAGGTATTGTCTCACAGCGCCTGCTCGCATGGGTCAATTTGGCGTAGGAGATCACTGCGCTACACAGTGACAACAAGTTATCGTTTGATAACTGAATTTCAATTGTGTTGTCTTCAAAGTGAAGAAGTCGCATCCGAGGCGATAGGCTTGTCTTGTAGTCAATTCAGTGCTAACTTTGTTCTGAGAGCACACAAAGACTGCTATAAAATTGCAATTGTATTTACTACATAAAAATGCTCGAATGAAGACTACGAAGAATTTGAATCTGCAGCCCGTTTGACTGCAAGGCATTTGAGTCGAATCTTTGCTAAGGCGCTGTTGGTGCTGATGGGTCGCTTGGCGGCAGATGAAGTAGGAAAGACTTGGCTGGGTAAAAGATAACAGATGAGCCCCGGAAAAATGGCAAAGAGCGAGTAACATACCGGTTCCACCATGTCAGCAGCTCGTCGATTTCCTTATATTCATCAGGGTCCTCGAGCAGGTCAAGGAGACTGTGGTAGAATGTCTCCGAGTCTGTGGTCGTATTGGTCCGTGAAAACACTGATGAGGAACTCAGAGAAAATAGAACCTTTAGTCATGCATCAGGATAGTTCAGCTTTGGAAATGTTGTAAGGCAAACCTGCGTCGCAATATAAGCTATGGAAGCGATCGTAACAGCGTTCATGCCATGGAGGCGAGCGTTTCCAGACCGTGTGGCTTTGGGTTCTTTGTCTACTGAACTTGGGGATGTGAAAACGTGCTTGTAAGCCTAGTGAAAATATGTAGTGAAGAACAACATAGAATAAGTTGTGCCTACTCACAGATACAAGTAAGCGATTCCTAAGAAGACCACACCATGGGTCATCAGCGTCGTAAGTATAGTTGGCGTACAAAAATATGGGCCATTGATCTCCGCATACCGAGATTTCTCCGCTTTGGAGGTTCTCTCTGGTCATGTATGTGATGAAGTAAAAAATGAGTGGTGACCACAGATACCAGTGAACTGAAACGTACTCTGGGTCTTTCCAGTCCAACCCAGCAGGACAAAGCAACGACCCGGTTAGCTCATGATTGAATCTGCGGTCGATCTTCGAGTTTCTGTGTAAATGAGGCTGGATTGCTGCTCCTTTTGGGGAAATCCAATCAAGCACTGCGGACTTCAATGTTTTCGTGTCGTCGCCCCTCGCACCTGCGGCTCCCTTACCAATCTGCAGAGAGTAAGCATAAACACAACCTCTGTGCACACAAAAAGAAACGCACTAGCTCACCAACATAGATAAGTTCTTCTTCAGACCCATTCTGTAGTCGCTCTAAAAGGCCAGGGTAAGATTCTAAGAGGTGCTCAAACACGCGATGCTCTTGCCGCTCACTGCCAAACACGTCAATAAGCCAGTAAACGAATATAGATGCACGTCATTTTCACTCAGCAGAGAAGTCTTCTAGTGAAGAGGTATCTTCCATTTGCTCTAACCTGAGGATCCTGTTGGTAAGCAGAGAAGGAAAATTGCACAGAGCGAATACTGTTCGACTGAAGTGGCGTCCGTGGGAGATAAGTGGATCAGATGTTGAACTGTGCGACTAGATGAGTCTGTAAAATCTCAATATACCAAGCATTAAGAACACTTGCACTTTTTTGCGGGGCCCCATCTGAAGAGCCGATGCAGGGCGTTTACTCGGAATGTTGGAAGTGGTATTCTCGGAGGTCATGGGAGCTGGCGAGGTAGCAGAGTTCTGGTACTAAAGGCTAGCTTTTATTACAGACGCTAACACGTAAGACTGTGTAACCAACGTACCTGGTGGCAGCCAAGCAAAACCCAAGACGGCTTGGCTAGGTGGCTGGCCATGGTGATTGGGGGCCTGGGCGCTGGCGGTGGTGACCAGGGGCTACAACGGCCTACCACCCAACGGATTAACATTCGGTTGAATCAATTGAGGTGAATTCCATACCATCAAAAGGCGCTGCTCCGTAAATAATTTCACCAGTACTAAAAGATAAAATTGCCTGCGCTCAACCAGAATATGCAACAATCCTTGACTCAGAGCCAAACCTTTAACATATCCGGACACATCATTAGCTTGAACCTCCGGTAACTCTGATGATGCACTTGTGGCAGGATTTACTAACGTCATCCATTAGGATCGAAGCAGTAGGAAACACCAATCAGAGGGACAAGCCTAAGGGGCTTGGTATTGTAAGGTTTGTGAACACCACTATTGCTTATTCACAAAGCTTATGTTAGTTCAGAACGACGGATGTTGATAAGAACATATCTTCAGCGGAGCATAACGAAAATCCTGTTCTTCTGCCGGAGCACAACCGTGAAACAGGCGAGGACTCCGTAGCCAATCTCAAAGAACGACTACGGCTTGCAGACTTGCGCTGTTCAAAACTGCAAGAGTTGTATCAAAGCTACAGGCTTCGTTGGCTGGAAGAAAGTTATCGGGTCCAAATCTTGGAAGAATACGCACCAAGTGGGATCAGTACATACTCTCCTGGTCAGATCGCATGGGATGCCCCTTCCCCCATTCAAAGTACATCCCACACGAAATCCCTGGAAAAGAACTGACTGCTTTCCTCAGATAATGAGGACGACAAAATAGAGGGTCAGGAGTAAGTACGGAAGACATTATAACACGGAAGTGGTTGCAGCAGCGCACAATGTTGGTGATTCCCAGGTAGTTCTGTGACCAAGATATCGTAGCGTGGTGATGCAGCCGCAATTATGATGGCATACAACAAAAAATTGCCCTGTGCGGTCGCCGATATTGTTAAGTTGAACCGTAAAATTTGCACCAAGACGTCCAGAACGTTCTGATGAATCCAACAACGTATGAGTAGGTACTTTGAGACAAAGAATATGGAAATTACATCGTCTATTTAATTACTAGAGCTAACCTCTAGACTTCCGAGCGAGACATGTGGAAATGCCCTTAGGACAAAGACATTACTGCGGCCTTATCCTAGCTGGGCCTGGACCGTAACTGGCCACCACCAATATAATCAGCGAACCTACCACAACGGTGAGCGTAGCAAAGCACGCAATGACTGAGGGTGTGGATGGCTTGAAGTCTATAGTGATACCTGCGAGAAATCCAAGTATCGAAGTTGTCACACTGATGGTGATTCCATGAGCAAGCTAAGTAATCGTAGCCTTAATCACTTTTGCTCACCTCAATACGCAAAAACAAGTCGGTATGCTTGTAATAACCAGAAGCATCACCATCTTCTTTCGCAGATAATAGGCCTGTTCAGTAGGCAATGTTAGTCTCAGATGCAGAACAATTAAAAAATTGAACCGCAAAGTCCAAAGATCTCATCCTCTCGCCGAAGTGGTGTATTATTGTGCCCGCAAAAATACAGCCGACACCTAAAAGGAAGGAGCAGGAGCACAATGTCTGTGCAGTCGTTGTTGTACCTAACCATGGGATGGCAAGAATAGCAATATCCAAGGCCATGGAGATACCTGCCTAAAAGAGCAGACTAAATGGGACGTTCACGGTACTGATATACGACTTACCAGGGTGATTTGATTTCGAGTCTGACTGCCGAAATCATTGATAAACGACTGAACTTCTACCCCATTTATGATACCATCGACGGAAGTGCTCTTGACGCGAGCAATAGTGATGGGCATGCAGAACATCGTAGCTGCGGCGTTGCCCATAAAATGCAGAAGTTTGAACTTTCTGTGCTTCTCTCTTACTGTATGTGTTCGGATTAGGCGAGCCTCAGGTTGGTTATGGCGGTGCAAATACTGGTGATGTCCTATGTTCCTGCGTGATTAATAGTGTATACTTCAAAAGAGAGTGACGCACGTAGCATGTACATGATTCTGCCTGTTATTTAAAAAGATTAGCATTTGAAATTCTCGGTCTCACAAACTCACGAACAACATGATACGACTCCGGTTTCTGGGACCAGATCATTCTCCGTGATTTCTTCTAAAGAGGAGATGACAAAACTCAATTAATCTCATCGTGGCTGCTACACAGTGAGACAAGAACACATACCAACATAGGCCAGTTGACCGACAATTTGATTCATCTCGTCCAAAGTCCAGAATATGGACGCCGCAGTGGATTGTCTCAAAGTCGTTGCTTCTGTATTTGCCATTATTTTGAGCGTCACTGCAGTAGTGTAGAGCTTACCTGCAAGGTAGCAAACCAGTTCTCCTCGTATACATCTCACTTCCGATCGAGACATTCTCAAATCATGTGGAAAGTACTCGAAATGTTTCCTACCAACGAGCGAGAAATGTTCAGCTCAATGTCTATCCAATGTTATCCGCTCACCAATATTGAGCTTCTAATTCAAGTCCTGTGTTGTTCAGATCAAGCTCCTGAAGTAAAATTGAAAAACGACATACTTTTGTGCCTCCATTCGCTTGGCTTGACACAAGCTCGGAAGAGAATGTAGCCATCTAGATCCTCCAGCCAGGCAATGATGCGACTGCCGGGGACTACATAATAATATTGAAACCTTTCTTTGCCCATAAAGACCATCGGCTGGACGACCAACGTCCACGCATCTTCTTTCGCCGTGGCTCGTGATGCGTTTACGAACCCATCGAGTGTCTGTAGACTTCTCGAGTTCCTCAAGTTCGTCAACGTATACGTGTTCTAGATTTCCATGAGGTAGGGTAAATCATGGGTACAAGCGTGCTTACCTTTCTGGAATTATAGAAATATGTACCGCCTAATGGATGGACTAACTCTTGCCAGTCTCTGTATACTAGGGGACTGTCGGAGTTTATTAGTTTAACACCAGTCAAAAATAAGGTGACGAACGGAGGATCACTTATTTCCCTCTTGCGGACCAAGTTATCCTCATATGCGTCATCTGTACTATATACAAAAATCAATAAATATACTTCATAATCAATGATGAGTACTTACAGTGATACCACTTCGGCGTATCGGGGCAATTGCGTCAGCCAGATCCCAATACCACGATCAGACAGCGTCGCAGATTGCTGTTGGGACGCTAACGTTGCCTAGCGTATAAGGTCCTGAGCCGCCGGACAAAGTCAAAATGCATGTCGCGATTAAACGCACCATGTTCTCCTGTTGCGGGATTGTCAATGTAGTGTTGTGCTGCGATGGGCCTTGAATGAGGCAAACGATAAATGTACCAATGTATTTTACAAACGCGGAGGGGATACTGAATGAAGGACCAGATCGAACGATGGTAGTGGTAAGGGAGAGAGTTCGAAAATTACGTAATCCAGCAAGTGCAGGTCGATTAGTAGTGAACAACTATGGGGTATAAACAAATACAAATACTTCACATATCCACATTATTTCCTTAAACAACAACTTTAATTACCAACTACGGCAAATAAGGTACGAAAAGTCAATTATCTCCTCGATCGGATCTGCTAATTGACATCGACGTTACGTTACTACTAGACACAAAATGACACGCGTGATCAACGGACCCCAGCTAACTGACTGTGATGCCTGCGTAAGTACTACTTGCTTTGAGAGTTCGTCAACGCTAACACTCAACAGACTCATCTAGAATATCTAGAGGCAAAATACAAGGTGCGCGTTGAGATCATGTCAGTCACTCATATCCTGACTTCGGCACTGGAGGCGGCCGGCTTGAATGTCCCGCAAGCGCTGCTATGGAGTCCAATCATGAGATGGGTCACGTTTTCGAGGGACGGTGTTGGTCGTGTGATCCAACGCTTGAAATCGGCAGTGCAGAGAGTAAGTTTTCTTCAATTGCGAGCTTCAAATACTCAAGGCAAGCGTCCTAGTGTTGAAACGATAGGCTATATCTAGCCTACATACCACGAGAACACTCACATCACGACTTACGATGTATGATGACACCTCACCACTTGTTCAGTAGATTACTCACTCATGTAATTTCATTCATGGACTCAAAGCAACTGTAACTAATCTATACACCACCTGTGCTCGTTACATCACGGAATACAATTGTAATAGTATCAATGACCTTACCCGAATCTTTACTATAGAGGCAGAAGCATTGTGAAGTAACACTGGTGAATATCTACGGACTTAAACGAATGCGGAAGCCTAAATTGTGCGTAAGGGACTCCCGAGTCATCATGAAGCGGATCGAGAACTATGTCTCTGACATCGTCCATGACTTTCATTCGCCTGTCATTCGTGACGGGGTCTAAGATTAGCCTCGCATTACAAGTCTTGGGGTCAATGGACAACATGTTTGCCTCCCTGGACGTATGTCGCAATGAGCAGGACCAAAAAATAAGTCAAGATACTGACCGTATGTGAGGGAGCTTCCGGGCCACATCAAAAAAGGTCTCGAAACGGGATGGATTCGCATACATCACATCTAGGGCAGACATGATGTGAGGGTATACTTCCAGCGTTTTCAGCTGTATCCTATCCGCGTGAGCCGGTGTAGAAACAACAATACTGAGAGGAACAAAGAAATGCTCCTGACTGTATCTAAAAAGTTGTAGGTCGTGCGTTGCCTAGTCTGCGATACTTGAGATGGCAAGTGCATTCGACCCTAAAGGGGAAGCAGGTGCAGCGGAGATCTAGAGGTACGCGCTTCAGTGAAGCGCGAGAAAGCGCAGGTGCGCGCAAGGTACGAAGGCGCGGGAACGCGCGCGCGTATTAGCGCGAAGCGCGGGAAAGCGCGTGCGTGTAAGCGGAAATAAGAGAGACTAAACTTATGTGAAGATATAAGCAAGATAAAGGATGTGAGATGTGTTGTGCTAATGAATAGATTTCTACTGCGACTTTCTAAGTAGTAAGTACTAGGTAAAGTTGGGTGAAAAGTAAGGTCCATAATAGTATGTACTGCTGGCGCTTATATAGCGCGCCTAAGCGCGCTCATGCGGAGCCGAAGCACTACCGAGTAGGTATGTAAAAATATATATGAGTGAGAAACTATGATAAAAATAAAGGTGGAACTATGCTAATAAAGGAAATGGAAATATACGCACTAGGGAGCTTGGTGGACAGTGGATGGATGCATCTGGATGGCTGGCGCTATAGGGCGCGCAAGCGCGGGAACGCGCGCGCGCGTATACATCGTGAAGCGCGGGAATGGTGCGCGCATGGCGCGCGTTGCGCGGGAAAGCTGCGCGTCATATAGGAATCACTGTGGATGGTACACAGAGTGATGCTGCGAGTTGGTGCTGTATACTCCCTAGTGTAAAGCGCCATATCACACTATGAGATGCACGAGTCTCTACATCTCCCAGGGACTTAAATTCTGAGTGTCCCCACTCAGCACGCGCATGGTGAGGATTTTGCGTGATAGTATGTGTGCGCGATGCCTGTATGATGCTTGGGTCGTTGGGCGATGAATGCGCAAGTGCAGGAATTATTGCGTGGATGTGCGTGAAGCGTGGAAAGTTGCGTGCATGGTACGCGCAAGGCGCGAGAATGTGCGCGCGCTACGCGTGAAGGCGTGGGAATGAAGCGTAGCATGGCGAATTGCAAGGGTGACTCTGGTGTGAATAGTGTTCCCTGGGTGTGAGGCGATGATGTGAGAGTGATATGGATGTGGCGCGCATATGGCATAAAGCGCGAGAAAGTGCGCGCGCGCAAGGCGCGAGAAAACGCGTGAGTGTCGCATGTGTTGTATTGTGCGTATGATGCGAAGTGGTGCGGTCCAAGAGCGATCCAATCCAAGTCCAAACCAAGTCCTGCTAGGCGCGCTAAATATTAGGTGGTAAGGTTTGAACAGTGTGAGTAAAACTATATGTGAAAATGCGAAGGAAAAAATGGTAAACTTTGCGGATGTCCTATCCGACTTGTCTTCTTTGTGCGGCTGTCGACATCTACACCTTCCTATGAGCGAGGCGCAGGAAGCGCGCATGTGTGCGCGCGCGAGGCGTATGGGCGCGTGAATATTGCGCGCGTATGTGCGCGTGAGCGTGGGAAGACTGCGCGCATATGTGCGCGTTCTAAGGTAAAAAGGAGCATGGTGCCACCCTTGGCACCACTTCAAAGACGTTCCCACGGCCTTTCAGACCCGGTTTCTATGTCATGGGAAACTAGGCTGAAAGACCATTGTCCCCAAGAGGGTCTCCACCAGGTGCTACAATAGGCTCCCGCCCTTGAGAGGGTTTTTGACTCAAGTTCGCGCAGAGGCTCTCGAGGTAAGTATAGTCTATACCCTTTGTCCTCTGCTCGCTGGTATTTTTATAGATTTGCACCCTTCTTCCATCGCACAGCGCTGTCCGCTGCCCTTGCTCACTGCTCAGGTTCGCGCGGAGGTTCTCATAGTAAGTGTAGTCTATACCCTTTGTCCTTTGCTCACTGCCATGTATACTAGATCTGCACCCTTCGTCAGTGCTCAGGTTTGCGTTGGATCTATGAGCTTGTTTGTCTACAGGCTGGAGCTTTGGATTTACATTGGCACATTCTTCTGACTTACATTGGTGCCTTCTTGATCTACATACTTCTGGGATTTTCAGACTGACGTGGCACATTCTTCTTGATCTACAGCCTCGGAGCTTCAGGGAGGTTTTTGTAAATGGTCTTCTTGGCCTTAAATAGTTTCATTTCACTATCCGTTACCCTCTGCTTCGCGAGCCTCGGCTTTGAATTGATGTTCCAATTGTCCTCATACCCGGTGCTTCGCAAGCCTCAAGTGCATCTCGTTCAACAATTCGGACGAGTCGACCTTCTTTATTTAAGATTTGTTCTAAATGTTCATATGTTGCGAACCTTAAATGCATCTTATTTAGCGGAACTTCGTGAACATTCAAAGCATTTCATTCAACTGGAGACATATGATTTATCGCAATATGAAAGTACGTATGTAAACTATCATCGAAGGAAGTTGCGTACTACCGATCAAAGCAAGGATGGGTGAGATATAAACATACAGAACATCAAGAACACACGATCAAAGGAGGAACGAGTGAGATGGGGACATACGGAAACATCAAGAACATATATGCACACAAGAGCGCTCGATACAATGAAGCATTCCAAGAAGCAAGAGATGACGTCTAGTTACCTTCAGACTGGGGTGGTGATGATGAGTATGCAACTAGACCAGGTAAAGGGCTCATCCTCTGACTAGAGCGGCGGGGTGTTTGTAGTACGTTCTCGGCCTGATGCGCCATGGGCCCGTAGTGAGGCTGCCAACATTCGTCCATGTTATATGCTACCCTGCCATCACGGTGAGCCACAAGTCCTTGTTGGGGAGCAGGCACACGAGTGTCGTAAGTCGGAGCAGGTGCACGAGCACCATAATTCTCCATGTGCTGCTGCTGCTCAGAAGGTGCACGAGTAGGCGCACATCCATAAATTTCTGGATATTGTTGCTGTTGAGAGGGTACCAGTGCACGAGTATCGTAATCTTCCAGACGTTGCTGATGAGCAGGCACACGAGTACTATCATAAGCTTCTGCGTGTGGAACGTTAGCATGGTGGGGTGCAAGGTGCGGATACATGTCATTGCGAGGAGTGTACTGGGTGTGGCTGTAACCGGCGGTGTTGCCGCCACCTGGGCCTTGGTTCATGCGTTGGTAGTCAATCTGATTATGGCGCAGATCAGCCTGAGGATAGTTCCGACCTTGCGGCACGTCAAGATGTTGCCCGTATGAAGGCGGTGGAAGAGCTCTGCCATGACCATAATTATATGGTGTGGTTTCAGGGGCAGGGCTTCGCTGGTTGTGCGAAGATGGAATCAGTGACTGTGGACATTGTTGATATTGAGGCGATGGAGATGAAGGGGCAGACGATGGGGCAGGTGAGGGGGCAGGTGAGGGGGCAGGCAAGGGGGCAGGCAGTAAATGGTCGCGTGGCTCTGCTGCTCCCATTGGTCTTGCTGCTCTTGACAAGCCGCGCACATGAAGCCTCCCACCTTCGACAACTGCTACTTCTGCTCCCGATGGTTCCGCTGCTCCTGATGGTCTCGTTACTCCCGCTGCTCCCGGTGGTCCCGATGCTCCCGATGCTCGCGTCACTCCTGACGGTCCCACTGTTCTCGTTGTTCCCAATGGTTCTGCTGCTCCTGCTGCTCTAGATGATTCGTGCGTATGAAGCATTCCACCTTCATAGAAAGCAACTTGTTTGGCTGCTGCAGTTGAACCACGCACAATCTTCTTTGGCTTCAGCTTTGAACGTGCTGGACCATCTCGGAGTCGCAAAGGTATACCAACTATGAGAAGATGTTATCGATGGTAAGCGTCGTATAAAGGTGACAGAAATGAAGCTTGCATACCTTCCTTGACTTCGTCTGGCTTCTGTTCCTCTTCAGATTCAGAGGTGAGCTCGCGATAACGTGCCCTTACCCTCTCCTTCTGCAATGCAGTATCTTTTGCCTTGCCCTTGGGCTGCGGCTCGATCACCTCAATGTCACTGGACAGAACACGACGCTTAAGTCTGCGAGTGCCACCAGTCGTCTTTGCTTTGCGTTTGCGTGACTGCACTCTATCCTCGTAGTCAGACTCGACTTGTGGGGCGTCGTCATATGCTGAGTCGTCTTCCTCCGATCCAGACGATGCTTTCACTGATTCATCGAGAGTGATTACATTGGAAGGTGCGGGCGTTGCCTGTGATTTTGGAGGCTTAACTACCTTCGAAGGGCGTGCAGGAGGTATGATCAGTCGTCTGTTGGTCAAGAATGCTCAAGGTCAAGTCGGAATGCATGCGAAGCTTCGCAAGTCCGTGCCAGTGTGACATGATGAATAGGAGTTCGATAACAATTTTGTTGTGGTTATCATCGGGGATAAGGCCGTCAAAAACCGGGATAGAGCACTGGTGAAATATTAGTTCACGGTTACTGATGAGATTGATTCCATACTTGTAAGAGATCTTCGAAGTTTCAGGCGGCCATGTTCGACATATCTGATGTATTGGAAGAAAACCGTCTAATGGTGGCTGGCCCAAACGGAGGAACCTGTCTATACCTATCAAAGTTGAGTGTTAGCCTGGCAAGTTATCATCAAATAGATATCCCACAAACCTTTTATCGAGTTCATGCACCAAATCCTTGTTGATGGAGGTAAGAATTCTAAGTAAATGCACTAGAAGCATACGCCACACTCCGAGCTCAAACTCGTGCAGAAGATCAACGATGAGCGCGATGAATACATTGAATCCAAATCGGCCCAGGCGGTCCGACAAAATGTTCTACTCAATAAGGTTGATAAAGGCGAGGGGAAAAAGTAAGATTCATGCTCACAGGGATCGGAACCCAAGACTCAGGCTTTAGAAGTGCCTCAACCACCGTGCTATCTACACCGTAATGTTTCTCATATATTTGACGGCGTGCAGTAATAACAAGCTGACTCCTTGTGACATCGGATCATGCATGAGTCCGATGTTGTGCCCTATCGCAAGCCATCCCCAGACAGTGGAGCCTGTTTGTTGGTATAAGACATCGTGAGCATGGACAACCTCCCAATTGTTGAATTGTAGCAACGAGGACCCTGGCTTGAGTTAGTTTTGATTTCTATAGATATACATGACTTACTTTTCAGGATAGTCCGCAGAATATGTGAATATCCGGGGGTAAAACTGGTGTTTGACGCTGTCACAACACAGAATCACGATCCCGTGTTCATATGCTTCTAAGAACTCGTCATCAAGCAATATTTTCCATTGCGCTTGGAAAAGTTCGCGATGACAATGAGTTGTGCATTCGCAGCCGACACCTTTCCCTTCAGTGTAAATCCCCGCGAAATCTTTGAACGAGTCCGGAAGCTGAATAATAAGTCAATCTGGATGAAGACGAAGACTAACTCATAATGATTGTCATACCTTCTGAAAATAAGCTACATGATTTCCCAGATTACATGATGGTTTACATCGGCGGTACTTTGATTCGTTGCCGAAGTACATATAGACTGGCCACAGCTTCATGTTACCGAACGTGGTAAGCTGCGTAGCATCTGACCAGAACATCAGTGCAGCGACCATGCGGGGAAGTTCACACCCTGCCTCTCCAGGCAATTCCTGAAGTTTGCGGTGAGCATCTAGGAAGGCAGGTGATGTGTACAGTTCACCTTGGATATTGACTTCGTGTGGAAGATGAGGCGGGCACCAACACAGTTGATAAGGCTCGTAATGAAAATATTCATCGTCGTGAGCACTAGCGAGCTTTTCCCGTATAACAGACACAAGAGACCGATGGTATAGATCTGCCGCAATGTAAGGACGAATATCCGGCTGAGCTGTTGTTCGACAAAAAGGAACGTCGATGGTCACTTGAGTTTTATGCCACCCAGCATCTTCATCCTCCCATTCTTCTCCCTCATCACCAACACTTGCACCTAATTGGGAGTTGATCTTGTCCCAGTGCGTATGCCGCACATCGTCTGGATCATAGTCTGGACGTCCGATGATGTCGAGCAGTTCTTTGAAGCTCTGCTGTGATTTCTGTGCGCCCCCGTTCCAATACCAATGACCAAGCTTGAAGGAAGATTCGTTGGGATACGGATGGAAAGAATTATCGAGAGGTATTGCAACAGTATCCGAGTCTTCTGCAGTAAGAGTTGGGATATAACTGATATCTTGCAGGGTTATAGCCTCTTCCGGGTCATGGCTTGGCGGTACTGAAGAGAAGAATTGGCAGACTAGACCAAAAATATTCCTTGATGTGCGAAAAGGAGTAGCTTGCACCGAAGAGGAAGCTCTGGCAGGCACTATGTTTGTGGGTGAACCAGTCTCTGGTTGTCGTGGGGTATAGCTAGGGACGCTAGGAGGCTGAGGAAGCACATCCTCATATTGTCTGAAGCGGAGGGGCATAGGGACACCTACGTGGCGACTTCTACGCTGTGCCAATGGTAAACCGTCATCTTCTACGCAAGTAGATGATGTTTCAAGTCGGATATTGGGTGGTAGGATTTGTGCATCAGCTCGCAATGAAGAGTCTGCACACGACACCTCCCCGGGGGTGATGGCCGAGGAAGTTCATAAATCTTCTGTATCTAACGGCCAGTCGGAAAATAAGGGAGGGATTTGCGGACAGTGGACCTGCGAGCTCGAAGACGCTGTGTGAGCGCACACATCCTGTTTGTGACCAGTGGTAGACAGTCTAGACCGTTTTACCGAACCTAATAAATCTTTCGCTTTTGATAAAGCAGAGAATAGTCGTTTCTTGCCCTTTGTGCATGAATGTTGATGTTTCGTAAAGGCGCTGGCTTGAGTAAACTCGCGAGTGCAAGTGCATTTGAATACTGTTTCTGGTAGACCAGCCATGAATCTGGTACGGACACGAGCACATACTGTTGAGCTAGCAGCAAAAGATATTATCGAAGCCATGGAGCTTACCATTTGTCATTGAACGTAATATGGCTGATACAGGAATGAGGGCTGCCAGCGTAATCACCGCCTAGCGCCATATTCCTATATGACCAAATCACCTGGCGGCCTGACAGGGGGCTGGCGCACTTGGTGGCGGCCAGATCAATTGGGCCAGCACGATCGGGATGGCTGAATATAGGGATGGAAAAATAACAAGGTAGGAGAACAGCTATATAAACACCGTTCAGGTTATTTTCTACATAGCCTGTTATGTCCTCACCGTCATCCGAATGCTCGACGCTCGATTCCAGAGAATTTGAAGTTGATCCCAAAATGTTGGAGATGTTGGTGAGGATCCTCACATGCCACCATGGCATACTTCATTACCACGCAGAAACAGGGGAACTGACAATGTTTCAATGGTCAATGAATTTGTATCATGGAAATGTGTTCGTCACTCACACGTATTCTCTCTACAGGCCCACCGACTGATATGGAGGGAAAATACACCCTTCATTATTTCAGGCTTACCGTGACGCACACATGTTTCACTACCCGTGTTGTTTTTGCGCGACAACTAGCAGATACGTGGAAGTATCAATATTTCAGCGCCCTGAAGGGGTGTGCCAGGGGGAGTACGTCTCGGAATGCGCCACGGGCAATTGCGGCTACATGCGTAAGTCGATACACAGATGCGTTGGTCAAGCTAATTTTCAATGCAGTGAATATCGAGAAATTTTATGATAGAACCTACATACCCTCGGTGTACTATCCTCGGAGATGTGTGCATTCTCAGCCACGTGCGCGCTCGTATGCTTATAACTCAAGGTCGTCATAAGTCTGACCCGCCTCGGCCATATGACTAGAAATTAATATGAGGAAGTCATTTGCTATGGCTGAGTACAAACATGAGCTCTTGTACCTTCGATTTTTAGGAATATACGCACTGTTTACTATTACCATGAGCAAGTTCGCGAAGTATCCTATGATGTCATTCGACACTTTGAAGCTTCCCTTGCCCATTGACATCAATATCAGATTTCACCTCTGCAAATTGTGTCAGATATTAATCTGATGCTAACCATATACATTATATCATATCTGACCATTATGAATCTGCTCTACTGCAGGATTTGTGCTTATAATCACTTCAGAGCACATATAAATCACATCTCTCGTACGTAGTGTAAGTGAACGTCCTTGACTGGTACAAAATTTGCGCTAATCAAACTTATGTATAGGTACAGTGTCGTAGCCATATTGTAACTGTGTGTGTACACGGATTCGATGAAAATGGGAAAAGGAAAGAATGATGAAAGTGGGGTAGTATTTATAATGATCGACTTTGAGAAATTAAACTCAGCCGGCAACCCCCGTAATATCCAACACACGTCATCAATTTCCAAATTTGATGATAATGCTACATTCCGCCGTCTGTAAGCATGGAGCGTTAAATTTTATTATTAAATTAAGTTAAATCCTGCGGAAACAATTTGCACGTGCACAAGCCCTGTTCTGCACGAGCTCCACCTGAAATCCACCTGCTCCCTTTCAGTGTGCTTGGCAGTTTGCAGTCAATGCGCTGTGCGCTTATCTCAGTGTTTGAGTCTACTCTTGACAAAACAGTAAATGTACTACACAAACATTTCGCATTGTAATTCATAGTGAACGTTCAAAGGTAAAAAGATTGCTTGTACTAATACAAGTACAGTCGAGCCTGATCGATGTTCGTACTAACCTTACAACAAGGTCTATGGTACATGTTGATAAGACATAAAGGGATATAAAGATACGTGCACCTGATAACCACTGCGACGGTTTATGCAGTGGCGTTAAATATACGACGACGCACCCTCTGGCCCATACTCCTTGGGCCATGGAAGTATTCCTACACCTGAGCTTTCGTAGTTAAATGTAAAGGTATATGCTCATATCACACCAGGCAGAAATAAACACAACTCGGTTACCATAAGTCAGAATTGGTGCGAGTGTCGATTGATTCGTCATCCATGCACTCCATGTAGCGACGCACTTCCTCTGGTAGATGCTGCGGCAGAGCTGGGCGTTGTGACGAGTCTATATCTGTAATGTCCCATCAGCCATTGATGAAACTTTGACCAGTTTGCGCTTACCACTGTCAGAGTAGGTTGATGCAGGGGAATTTTCAAGGGCCAGTGTATAAACAGCTGCCTCAGCTTGGGCATGGCGCATCTTTGCTCGCAAGAAGAATAGCTCCGATTGAGCATTGCGATGGTGAGTATGGTATCCTCCTAGGTCAAGGTACGTTGACATGAGTCCCGCCTGCGTGGATAATTCCACTTTGTGGGCCTCTTGGAAGGCCTCTTGGAGGCACATCGTAACCCATGTACTTTGCAGGCTGAACGATGGGTCATCGTACTTCAAAGAACGTAAGAACAACCAAGCGAACTAACGATAGCACTGACATTCACAGTCACCAACGTTCGCTGTTCCAGGTGCACAAGAGCAAACTGACCAATAGTTAAAGGAGAGCCGAGAAGGGGCAAGCTACTTTCGATCAAAGTAATTTCTTTAGGTGGGATGGGGTCAGTTTTTTGTCTCCTTAACCAAGTTTCACACTTGATTCGCGCAGCTCCCGAATAGGTGGCTGCAGGTTCGGTGATGCATTGTGAAGTTGCTGAGAAATAGGCATCGTCATTGACTGGTAATGCAATAGAACGCATTGCTGAGTGATTATGTCAGACCACGCTATTTGCAGTGATAAGTTATAACAGTCCCTCACATATAGCCCAGTGCTGCTGTATATGATCAATGGCCTGGCTGCACAGAGACACTTCCAGCTGACAGCGGTCTCTCTTCTCTTCCATGTAATCTCGTTCTATGCTCCAGCGGTTTGTATTATCCCCAGCAGTACTTCGCAATGATTCCTCCTTCTGCGCTTCCAACATACATCCTGTGACTATTTGCCAGATGTCACCGAGATACACCCGACCTTTGAGTATGAAGTGCAGGAGATATAATTCAGTCCGGAGCTACACAAAATATCAGAACATGCCAATAGATGCTGTAGAAATTATGAACTTACTTTCTCCGTTGGTGTGAGCCTTATGAAAAATTCTAGCCATTTGGCATGTGTTAGTATGTTAGAGAGTTCAAACATGCCGACTTGGGCAGCTAAACTGTCGAATGGTGGAAGACAGGAGGGGGCTGACATCATCATGCAAATGACGGTTGGAGTCGGATGGGTAAATTAAGTCTTGTTGGTCATTCTGAAGCGAGATTTGTATAGAATTTGCGACGGCAAATGCCGGAAATTTTAATAATACATTTTGACAGCTGGCCATCAAAAGATCTGGCTGGCCATCAAAATTAATATAGCCCTTGAGCCGCATTGACTACTGATATTGAAAGATGAGCGACATAGTACATCATCTGGACCCTTATAAAGGTGCCCTTGTCCTAATTCTACAGAAGGATAACAAAATAACAAAATATGAATGACTTGAAACAAAGTGTAGATGTAATTGGCAACTCAATAGCATGTGCACGAACAAGTATGAATTGTGATCAGTGTCAGGGGTGGTAGGTAGCTCACCGCCGTAAAACTGGGCGCTCTGAATTGCCTGAAATCTTTCCCAAAAGCTGAGTGGTGTCTGGCCCTGGTTTTTTAGTATCTCTAGCAGATGAGTGACCTGTTGAATTAGATTAGCAAAATGTTCTGCTAAGTCTTTGAATGAGGGAGACAAACCAGCCGTTAAAGCATCAACAGATGAACGTTAACCTCGGGCCCGATGAAGTGCCCGCAGGCCACGTTTAAGCCAAGTCCCTGAGGCTCATCAAAGCGTGGGGTTGAGTTGAATTCTTCGAGGATACCGTTCGGGTAAGGCGGAGTCATAAAAATAGAATGACATATCCCGCTCCACCCAGCTATGCAATTGAAGTATTCGTCAGGAAGCAAAGAGAAGAAAAACTAATAGCCTTACCTACCTACCTTTACCGAGCCTTATTTGCGATTGGGAAGTCGGAAAGGTGCAACACAATGGAAGCGCACACTGATATACTGAATGACTACATATTGAAACTCAGCCGGAATTCAGCGGCAGCGAGCCACTAGACAAGTCGGGCATCGCCGGCTGGGTCTGAATGTGTACTGTCATTCAGTATATCACCCATGTCCTTTTTGTGTTGTACTCTTTTTTCGACTCCCTCGTTACACTAATGTCTAGACGTCTAAGCTTCGACACAAGTATATTTACAATGTAACCTTCTATATTTAGCATGAAGGTGAAATGGTGGAGCAGAACGTCCAATATTCTTGCGGTAGCCTACAGCTTTGGCACGGCACAATAATTTAAATATATTATACTTACAAGTGAGGTGGGCAGGCACTGAGTTCCGTCAATAGTTATGTATATTATTCAATCACCTGTGGAATTGTCTTATTTAGCATACTATAGCCCCAAGGAGGGCGGGCAAGAGCACAATGGCATTTCGACAATTCAATCAGGCTGTCGGACCACAACTGGCCAGTGTTTGCACCAGCCGTTGATGTCCACAATCCACACTACCAGTGAGTATTAGCTAATATACAATAGTGATTCACTACAAATATCGACCTTGCGCATCAGCAGTTCCTCTTTCTCCTACCATTACCTCGATACGATACAGTGTACAGATATCTAAATAACTATAGTGAACGTATCCTATCCGATAGACTATCAAACATACTATGTGAGGTTTCAAGTTCGTTTTAGTAACTCTCAAGTTTACATATACCCACATAGAGAAAGAATCTTGGATATGTCCAAACGTGCCCGATCCAATAATGACGAACCTGCCTTGAAGCGGCTCAGGATTGAAGAAGGTAAGTCATAATACAGTGTTGTCGATATCGTCATTAATGGCATGATACAGGCAATCAGACATCACCGGCACTATGCGATAAACAAGCATGGGGAATTCTCCAACAGTTCCTCACCACCAATATGACGATGCCTGAAATGGATAGTGCTCTTGCATCGTACCTTGGCGATAGATACTCTGCCGATGATTGGGTGGAACCCCGACGTGCCTTGTTCTCCGGCGAAGGAGATGACAGCGAATCCTTGGTCAACCTCAACCGACTCATGGCCAGACACGTACCCCCTGCCCCTCCCTCTCCTGCATCGAAGACGGTCAACCGCTTGTCAAACTCACGCAGAAAGCGATCACATGGACTACGTAAAGTAAGTAAAACACTATGGCTGATAATCTTGTATACTAAAGAGGAAACATAGTCTACCCACAATCCATACATCATCATGGAGGCTGAAGATGACGATGAAGATGGGAGTGATGAGGAGGAGGCCTGGCGCTCCGAGTCGGAGCAGTTGCAGAAGGCTATACGTGTGTCAGGACCATCGGCGAAAGAGAAGTTGGCCAAAAAAATTGACGACTTAGCCAATAGGTTCAAAGAGAATTCGGGCAACTCATCTCAATGTCGTCATGGGCTCACTTCCAGAGCGGCCTCGATCCCTTTATCCTCACTTGAAGTTTCGGCACCTTCAAGCAGGATGTATTTACTTCACATTCAAAGTATGTTTATTTCGCGTTACTTAGTATACCACTCATTGCATTGCAGGAACTGCCGTTGAATATATCGCTGAACACCTTAGGAACCAAAAGTTCTCCGTTACTGTATCGCCTTGGGTAGCAGGCCAAATTTACGTAGTCGCAGATAGCCCCAAAAGCATCTGTGACTCACTTCCTGCCTCACACGGTCTTGCCATGAAGCAATGTCTTCGCATCACGGATGCAGAACGTGAAGCCGTCTGTTACGCACTCAAATAGATCTGTTATGCGGAGCCCTAAGAGAGGCGTCGTCCGCTAACGTTCATGACGTAACCGGAAGGGTCCGGTGTAGCGACTGAGACTGGTGACGACGAGTCGGCAGATATCAGAGACGCGCGTGTCACGTGACTTCTAAGACGGAGGTCTTCAAAGTCACTGACGTTCTCAAAGTAAGGACAGTCTTGTCTGAACGATGAGTAGTCGATCGAGGTAGACTTAGGCGTGATGAGCACCTAAGAAAATATACTAGAGACTGAAGCTGAGGGAGCTTCAGAGGGAAGTATGTTCGAGGGAAGATTGAGTAGATTCAAGTTAGGGAATCTAGTACAGAGTGACCGACTACTTATACTAAGTGGAAAGGGTTAAGGGCAAGGCTACCGTACTGTAGGTAAGGGCAAAGGGGAAATGGAAAGGATATAGGTATGCTGGTAGCAGAGCCTGATTAGTGATGTGAGGTTGAATGCGGAATGAGACCGAGAAACGTTGGAACGAGCCAACGGTAAATGATACAATGCGCAGCACGCATGAGTCAGAGGAAAGATAAGACAAGATAAGGAAAGCCACATTGGTGGCACGAGTCAGAATGAGTCATAGCCCGAAGGCACGTGCACACGTTGGTGCGATAGGAGGGGGGGATGAGGGACGGGAATGGTCCCGAGGATCCGGTCAACGGATAGTCGGTAGAGAAGTACAAGCCGGAGGCATACGAGGGCGAGGACGAAGGGGAAAAATGATAGGGGGGCCATGTAGCCGATGTTACTTGTAACACCGTCGTTGGTTCACTGTTCCAACTACCTAGCCCAGCTTGGGTGAGGATCAGGCACAGCCCACACAGGGGCTCTATAGGCAGAGTAGAATCCCAGACAGAGAATTTGGTCAAGGTTCTAATTCCTCCATTGCGCTTTCCCTATTCAATGCCTTGCGGAACTCGAGCTCTGCTTGATCAATGTCGCCTTCCGACCAACAAGGCCGTTTCCGACATCATTTGTGATAACAAAGTAGTAGGATGGACGTACGAAGGACAAAGCTACTACATGGGTCTCCTACTACAAGATTTCCACCGCGATAACCTCGAACTTCTTGCCTCCCCTCATATTGACGACATCCGACTCCATCTTGAATCCGGATGGGACAAACCATTCCTGAAGAAAACTGTCACATCGTTTTCTATGCAATTTTTGCGCATGGGCGATTGGGCGAGGGTCGTTGAAGGTGCTCTTCGTGGGGAGTCAGGTCAGGTCATATCGACGGATCATACAGTTGGTTCCGCGAGCTTGGAGTTCGCGTTCGATGGACGTCCAGAACAAATAGAGGTTCGTGTTGAAGAAATAGAGCGCGTATTCCGGGTCAGCGATACCGTCAAAGTTGTAGCTGGTCCGTACTTGGGAATAGAAGGACACATTATTCAAATGTGGCAAGATGTATTTGACATTTGTCAAGATATCACCAATGAACAGGTATGTCTTGACGCAAATACATTTCTACGAAATTGACTGACATTTACATATAGGTGGAGGTTTCCAAGTACTACTTGGATCGGCGTCCCTTGAATCACACCATGCACTCACAAATACCCATGCAACAATATCTCGAGCCTCCCCCCGAGTCCGACTCTATCGAAATTGGAGATTATATAGAAGTGCTGGACGGCAGGCACATGGGGAAACACGGCGTCATGGACTGGTATGCCAAGAGATCGACCTATCTGTGGTTCCGGGATGTCCTCACTCAGGACGGCAGAGAGACCAGCTCTGGACTCTCCAGTATCTCAGTTCCTGTGGCAATGGTTCGGCGGACGAGCCTCACCCACACCATCCAGTATACGAAGGACAAGGGGTATGATGTCAGGCCTGGAGATGTTGTGACTGTTGCCCGCGGACCGGAGTACCAGGCGAAAGGGGTCGTGCACAGCGTTGATATTCCAAATGCTCATTTGACCATATTATGCGATAGTGACCGATCGCTCGTAAGTACAGTTCACTTCGTCTCGAATACATCTGACACGTGTAACAGCTCCGCATCCCAATTAGATTTGTAACTAAGATACGCAACGTCTTCTTGGATTCGTTCCGGAACGATATTGGCCAGGAAGTTTTCGTTATTGGGGGCGACCAGAAGGGCTACCGAGCCACGCTCCACTCTCTTTCCTCTGAGACTTGCATCGTTGCTGTGCATGGGCAGCAGCGCACCGGACTCAAACTGCACGAAGTTGCCACCAAGTGAGTAATACGCTTATTTTCGAATTGTTCTGAAGCTTACAATATTTAGGTATGGAATGAGACTGAACGGCGCGATGCTCGAAGGTCCGGAGTTAACCGCATTCTGTGAAATGAGGAAACGATCATACTTGGTGCCTCCACCTCGCTCCACCACCCCACCCGTCGAAAAAGAAAAAATTGCTTCCAGTCCAGTGGTTTATCTCACAGGTCCCAGCTCATCGCCATCCAACACATGGTCCACCTGGTCCGAAAGTTTAGAAATGACATTATGTGAAGATAGTGTCATTTTAATTTGATGACTCATTGGGACACTTTTTTGACTTTGAGTTTAACTAATGTAATCTCTATAATTCTAGTACTGTGTGTGACCTCCTTCTGCCCCAATCACTTCTGCCACTCTTCTAGACATATTCCCTATCAATTTTGGATATTTTTCTTTGGTGATTCCATCATACTCTGCTGTAACACTGTCTCATAGTTGGAATAGCCCCTATGGTGAATCTTGATATGCTACAAGTAATTTCTTGAGTGATTCTCAGGGGTATTCAATAGGGTTGATGTCTTGGGTCTATGTTGAACATGATAGAATAGTAATATTATGGTCTTTAAGTTATTTGATAGCCAATCTAGAAGGTTGCTCTATAAGACTCGAGATCTCTTAATCACTATATTCTAATTGGAAAAGCTGCTGATGTTAATAAAGTGATTAAATTGATTATTTCCATCATTCCTATGACTATCTCTACTCAAATAGTCAGACAGACTCTCAAGACAGCCCATATTAAAGCTATAATCAAGAAAAACAGATTCTTCTGTCTCCAACCTATAAAAAGAAAAGACAAGATGCTACTTTCAAGTACAAATATTGGACTGCTAATAGCTGAAAGAGGTTTATCTAGTTAGATAAGGTTAAAATCAATAGGATGAGATCATATGGCAAGGAATTTGTATTAAAATAAATAGGACAATCATTAAGATAAAGAAAAGTTAAATAAACACCTTAAGTTTCAAGACGAAAACTTGATGGTATAGGACTATATGAGATAAAATGGAGTGGGAATCTTCTATGAAGCAAAGGGGAGGATGAATACAGAGTAGTAAATACTCATTTGACAGGAGTGTCTGCTAAGAAGCATGCAGGAGTTATGAGTTAATGAAGAAGATACTGTTTTGTCATAAGACAATGGCCCTAAGTATACCTCTAAAACAGCCACCAATAGCTTGAAGACCATGATATTACTATTCTATCATGTTCAGCATAGACCCAAGATATCAACCCTATTAAATACCCCTGAGAATCACTCAAGAAATTGCTTGTAGCATATCAAGATCTACCATAGGGGCTATTCCAACTATGAGACAGTGTTACAGCAGAGTATGATGAAAATACCAAAGAGGAATACCAAAAATCGATAGAGAATATGTCTAGAAGAGTGGCAGACATGATTAAGGCAAAAGGAGGTCACACAAAGTACTAGAATTATAGAGATTACATTGGTTAAACTCAAAGTCAAAAAAGTGTCCCAATGAGTCATCAAATTAAAATGACACTATATTCACATAATGTCATTATTTTCCCATAATATAGGGAGCCGAAATGAAGCTGAGACGCAGACCTTTCTGACACCTCCCTGTAGTTTAGTCATATTCCCACGTCTTGACACATGATATAGCAATTACATGAAAAGCTATAAACATTGGGACACTTTTTTGAGCCACTGTATAACCCTACATCAACCGTCAACCGCCAATCCCACCTCTCTGTCGACACACGATCCCTGGGCTGTCGATACCCAGAACGCCGAAGCGGAGAATTTGCCGGACAACAGTGCGTCCTCAGTCTTGGCATCGCAATGTCTACTTATTTCATTCTAGGCCCAATACCTTGGTTGATGTCAAAAGAATTTTCATTGACACTTTCAATGTATCACGTTGTAGGGATTCATTTCTGGCTGGGCTTGTAGAGACTGTTTTTACCTTACCTTATGTTGGCACTTTTGTAGCTTACATAAGCAAGCAATCTTTTCACCAGTTACCAGTATGGGTCTGAGGGCTGACCAAGTTTCTATGATATTTCCTCTCCTCTGAGCCTTAAGCCTAGTCCAGAAACCCTTTAGGGTCGAATAGCAGCTAGGTTCTGCAAGACCCAACATTGTTCAGACTCACCATCTGAATTGTTGTACCTTCAACGTGTTGTTGAAGGTGTCGCCTAACTTCCTCCATGGTAGGCTACACAAGCGATTTGTATCAACGGCTTGTCCCGACTCATTCTGTGGTGAGAACGGACCGGCACCTGAGGGTCACGTGGCCGCATTCTGTACATCCAACGGCACAGGCGCTGCTATCAAACACCATCATATCCCCGCCAGCGATCTGAGCCCAGCTCCTCCACGCAAGAAAAACCAACAGTGCCTCGTTCTGGACGGGGCTCACCGCGGGGCTCTTGGAACTGTTGTAAATTGTTGGACCAAGAAAAAGACTGTTGACCTTAGACTTAGCGAAACTGTCACTGTAAATCTGGGTTTTGATCAGCTATGTCTGGTAGAACCTGCAAAACATATGAAGTGATATATACCAATAGTAGAGTACATGGGTCTAGTTATTGGGGACGATCGCCTCTGTTCTTATCTTACGGTACATATCTTATCTCAGTTTCACTTCAACCTGTACTATTAATGTTGATTATCCTGTAATAATACATGTGATATAATGTCAATTTTTGGCGCCAGCAAGGTTGACACTGAACGGCTGACTCAGTTCCAATCAGCGAACCACTCACTTCTCCCGTTACTGACTTCTACCCTTGCGCAAGAACAGGCGCCGAAATATATGAAATATCTATGCTTGCTGTACCAGGCTAGGTTGTCAGTATATCCAACAGGCACCCTAACTCATCACGTAGATACAGTAGTTGTCCAGCAGGTTTGTAACAATTGGTACAACATTGGTAGCTTACTGGTGGGCATTGCAAATAACCATCAATGATGTTTATTTTGGGTAGCTAACGACCATTGCTATCGATAACTGCTAGTGTATTTCCAAGTCATTGCTATAGAACCATCACAACTGCGAAGGGAGACCGTTTGGAGGCAATCTGGCATTGTTTGTGCAACCAACTGGTTCACAACGCAAAGAACTATCACAAAGTTCCACTTAGGCAGTAGGTGACCATTGCGGTCGAAAAATGCTAGCGTATGACAAGGCATTGCCCTGGCTCTATCATCACTATGAGTAACAACCATTCTGGATAAGTATTACACTGGTCGTGTAACTCACGATTGCCGTCTCATTGAAATTGCAAATAAACATAACAAAGTTTACCTTAGGCAATAGATGGCCACTGAATTGGAGAGATGCAGGACTTCTTACAAAGGTATATCTATCAAGCATCATAGTTATAAGGCATTGCGAGATTAGTATACATTCATCAAAGTTAGGTTCATATTGCACTTTCTTATCTTTGGATGGCATGATGTTTTGCATATATATTCATTTGTCTTCGGATATAATCCGGTTGACTTTTGGTCCGAACTTGCCATTTAAATCTACAAAAGCCAAGTTCTCGCTGATTTCCTGATGTACATGCTATGATTGATCATCAGACTTGCACATCAGACTTGCGCATCAGGGAAACGTAATACAACTCTGTAATACGGAGTTGAATTACGTTTCCCTGATGCGCGCAATGATGATATATCATGCTGTCAAATGTACAGCCCGAACACATTCTGCAGTCATGTCTGGTGAATATCTACTGCAATGGTTTGCTTTAGATTTGCCTGTTTATCAACTTGTGCAGTGATACTGACATATAACACACAGTGCAGAATTTAATTCGTTTTATTTGGATTGAATGTTGCCTATGTACATGCACATTTCATCTGTCCCGAAGTAAGGCTCGCATAACACCAAACTGTACAGTGAGTTATTGTGTAATACTAGTACAGTACTAGCCTAACTACTAGTCTCCCATCGCTATCACAATGGCACCACGGTATAAAACTGCAGAAGAATGGCGCAAAGCTCGATTGCAAAGCAAACGAGCACATTATCAACGGTCAGAGTTCATCACTCTGAGTCTATCATCATACTCACAATAAATTTTATTCTTCCTTTAGAAATAAGACTACAGAACAGGCAAAGTCTCGAACACATTGGCGAACACGTTCTCATTTCAATGATGTATGTATTCCCTCGATATACACTATATATACAATTTATCTACCATTGTACACTTTCAAACAGGATGTCATCGCGTTGTTTTCCACCTTGGACCGATTGAGTGACGAGCTAGGGTACAGGTCCGGCATTCCTGAGGCAAACACCATGCAATCTCGTGTTATTGCAGTGCTTCAGAGAATAGATGTCGAAGGTTGGACTCTGCTGCGCCCTGAGTTGGACAATTCCTCGATCGTAGTGCTGAATTTGCATGAGTGTGCTACTGAATTACATGAAGCGGTGCGACAACTCAGATGTATGTCTGGGACCGGTTATCAGCTCTTATTGAAACAGAGCCAGGAACTAATTGACTTGATGGGGAGATGCCTTGCAGTAGAAAGGGAAATCATATCAATAATAGATGATGGGGGTGTTGAAGCTTACAATGAGGCAATGCTTACTGACTTGCTCAGTTGGCAGACAATACTAAGTTGATATATCAGGCAGTTTTTAGAATTACATCATCACATGACTGAATTGTTGACTTACTACTATAACACTGTATCCAACTTGAACTTGAATGGTCAGAGGTCAAAGACGGCGAAACCTGAAGCACTACCAGCGTGATTTCTATGCACACAACGCTGCTGCTTCAAAAGCAGTGATTAACGATACAAATGACGCACCTCAACACACTCGCAATGCTCAACAACGCAAGCACAGCAGTTTCGAAGCAGGACCAAGTGGATGTCTAAATGTCTCTTCATCTTACTATACAGTTCCTAACTCTCCAGGTAAATGACGTCGTGGAGAATCAGATGTTCCGTTAGACACCATGGATCTCAACCTTTCAATTATCAATGACTTTTCTGATAACCTTCAGAGCGACACTTCGGAGCTTGTGGAATTCACTAAACCAAAATGTACTGGGGTTCAGGGTGAGGTCTTGCGTTTATGGCGATCTGATTCCGACTTGTTTTTGGAGGAATTCCTCTACCTGGAGGGTCGAGGTGACTATTCACAAGACATTTGTGTTTGCGGTGAGGAAGCAGCAACATATCGTTGTCAGGATTGTCATGGTTGCGAATTATTTTGTCATTTGTGCATGATCCGCATACATGACAGACATCTGCTTCATAGAATGGAGGTACGTGTATATATACTTTACATTTCTTACATAGACTGACTCTTTTGCACTTTGAACTTAGCGATGGGATGGTATCTCATTTTACAGCATTACCTTGAAGTCCATGGGGATCCATCTACAACTTGGACATGCTTCTGGTGTTCAGTGCATCAACCCACTCCCTGCTCACAACGGCGACTTTGTTATCATCGACTACAACGGCATCTACAAAGTAGGGTTAGATTTTTGTGGATGTGCACATGCCGAACTGCACATAATTCAACTACTACATGTTCGCCTCTTTCCTGCCACAACAGTCGATCCAAAAACAGCTGCAACATTTCAGGCACTGGAATACTTTCAGATGCTGTCTTTTGAGTCCAAAGTCTCCGCATTTGAATTCTACAAAACAGCTGCTCGTTTGATGGACAGTACTGGAATTCATATACCAAAGGTACGTGCTAATTCTATTATTATTTCAATTTATCATATCACAATCTAGGATCGTTACGAGGCATTGTTACGCATGATGCGAGAGTGGCGCTTCATCAAGCAGATGAAACGTGCTGGTCAAGGTCATCACCCTGATGGTATTGGTGCAACTAAACCAGGTGCCTGCACTATTTTGTGTCCTGTGTGTCCCCATGCAGGCAAAAACTTACCAGATGGATGGGAAAATGCACCATCCGAAATATGGTATGTATAACGCCACCTTTCTGCCTGACTTTTTCTCACACAGTCCCAGATTTTTATATGCCTTATTCCTTGCCATCGACACCAATTTCTGTCTCGCTTGCCGTAATGTCTCTTCGGACATTGTTGATCCGGGTCTCAATCGTGGATATGCGTTTTTTGTGGAGGAACATGCATATAAAGATTTCATTGGTTCACGCGAGCGAGTCGTCCAGGAGGTAAATTCAACTTTTATTTCTCGTGAGCACTAAGTCTAACTCTCTGTAGTTGAGTTCATGCTCCAGTCACAACACAGTCAACCTTGCAGATTCGAGAGTCTCACATGGCCTTGCAGCCACTGGTGCCAGTACTATTGATTGCGCAAGACACAATTTCAAACAGCCCTGCTCAGTCGGTGACCTACAGAAGGGCGAAAGGTGCGCAACATTCCACATTCTTGCTGTATTGCTAACAACAGAACTTATAGGTACCTTAACATGGATTATTTATTCTTCTCGAGCATGCAGTCTTCATCGGAGATATCGACATTGAACATCTCATACGATATTGCTTGTCAATGGAGCAAACATCTCTGGACACGAATGTCCGCCTTCCCACACCAGTACCACATCAAGCACGACCAAAAGTCAATCACATTTCTCATACCGAAATTCCACCTGCCGGCCCATGTGGCCAAATGTCAGTCAAACTTTTCCTTCAATTTCATCAAGGGCGTTGGTCGCACGGACGGTGAAGCTCCCGAGCGTGGCTGGGCCGACATAAACCCCATCGCGACAAGCACACGCAAAATGGGTCCCGGTTCGAGGCGCAACACCTTAGATGACCACTTCAATGACTGGAACTGGAAGAAGATCTGTGCAATGGGTAAGTTTTTTGCCTTGAACATCTGAATCTAAAGTATCACTGTCTCTTAGGTTTGATTTTCCGCCGAAAGTACAACTTTGCATTAATTGAGGTGCAAGAACGCGTCGACGATCTCATTAATTTTGAAGCTTCCCTAGCTGCAGATAAGTTAGTTGAATGGAGGAGGGACATCAAAGCATGGGAGGCAGACCGTTCACAACCGAACCCGTTTGAAGGCAGAGCTATGACTAGTACGTGTACTCTATATTGACACATTTTGAGAAGCTGACGGCATTTTCAATAGCAATGACTCAGGCTGCTGTGTGCCTAGCCTTATCGATGGCTGAGGCTGCAGAGATTGAGCGTGGCAACAACATGTCCCTACACGATGATATATCACCCTCTGTGTTAATTTCGTCGGGATTAGAACTCGAAGATCAGCAGTTGAGTGTATATTTCTGGATGTATTGAATCACGCACTGACTCTATTCTAGGCGCCGTCTTGGCTTTGATGCCAAGGCGATTAAACACCACACTACAGATGTCCAGAAGGGCAAGATCTTACAGCGCATGAATGCTCTTCGCCGACGCATTGACACCTGGGCCCGGGTGCAGGTGTTGTATATGCCTAGTGTCTCCCGCCTGCAGTCACCAGATGACATTGCCACTGAAACGAAGGCCCACAACATCAGCCTTTTTCTGCTGTCCTCTCTGCCCCAGCGAGTGCCATGTGACGATCGCTTGCTCAAACATGAATGGGAATTGCGTGAAGCTCAGGCATACGACATGCTGAATGACCTCCGCACCGTGCTTAACCTGCGATACCACCTTTACAAGTATAAGGACACCTTTATTCGGGGACAGCGAGCAAATACCCGAGCAAACGGAATCATCAACAATGCTGAACATCGCATTGACACCTTATCACTTAAGTATTCTACTGCTAGAGATGCACTTGTGAATCTGGCAGCAAGGCTAGGTAAGACTGATGACTGGGAGAGGAGCCTCAAGCCACTCAACAAGCAAAGGGATGCCGTCCCACTCAAACACAACAATGGCCGAATGGTGGGACAACAAAGTATATCATGGATCTGGAGGACTTCGGGCTTTAACAGCAACGAGCTAGGGCTACAGGACTGTAAGTAGGCTCTAACGACTGGTGCTTCTTGCTAACCTGGCCATTTTATAGTGCTACATGTTGAATGGTGTAAGGCGCGAGCACGAGCTCATCGCTGGGAGGAAGAAGTGCAACTACTATGGGAGGAAATGTGCTGCATCGTTGCATTTCTTGACTGGCAGGCAGGCTGGTGGGACATGCAAGGTCCGCGGCATGCTTTTAACTCACTGCAGGCTGGAGAGGGTGCTCTTGCTTATGTGCAGCGCCAGGCTAATCTACGTCGACAGATGGTCATACACATCAAATCCGTGTGGGCAGCCAACCCTTCATGGCAAGAAGCTCCCCTTCTTGCAGTCCATCTTCGTTCCGAGTTGCCAATGCCAAACTCCCATTCCCCTGTCTGTTGAGGTGTCTGTCATGACTTGATTTGAGGTCACAATGGAGAGGATGACGAGGGCAAATATATAATCTACTATATTTCTGTGTTTTAACGGACGGGCTGCAACAAGAGAACTATGACATCATTTGAATTATTTGACCCTGGCTCATGATTGGTGGAAACATCAATCAGTGAGCCCCGAAGGTGATATATCACGCGAGCCCAGAGCTTTAAAGGTGATGTATCATGATTCACAAAAGGCTTGAAAGTGATGTATCACGCGAGGCGATACCAAGGTGATGTAACACAACTGGAAGTGATATATCATGTGAGTTTCAAGGGCTTTGAAGGTGATATATCACTTTCAGTTGTATTTGGGGCTTGCGTGATGTATCACTTTCGGTTGTGTTTGAGGCTTGCATGATATATCACTCAAGCCTCAAGGGCTTTGAAGGTGATATATCACATGACACGAGCCCTCAAACACGACCAAAAGTGATATATCACGCGAGCCTCAAGGGCTTTGAAGGTGATATATCACATGACACGAGCCCTCAAACACGACCAAAAGTGATATATCACACGAGCCTCAAGGGCTTTGAAGGTGATACATCACAGGATGAGCCTAATATATCAATGGTCTATGTGATACATCACAGAACAGGCAGCGAGAAAGGTGAGGGAGGTGATACATCATGGTTTATGGACCACAGGCTCTGATATAACACCAGCCTTCTACAATACTAGACATTGATATATTATACCTACAGGATATTGTGCTGGCAGGTCATATTTCCATTCTAAGGCGTGCAGGCGAGTCATGTAGTTGAATCCTGGTTGTACCGCGACCTGCTCATACTCACGTCATCAAGTTCACAAGTCCAGTTCATGCAGCATTCTTCATCATATCTGCAAGGTGTATCAGTACATGCGTTGACAGACATAGATGCTGTCAAGGCAACAACAACAGCAAGGAGGGAGAAACACATTTTCTGTACGAGATGATATGGATCTTCTGAGGGAATCCAGAGTGATATCTCTGAGGATTGGGGAACACTGTAGGACGAAGGCCAGCTTTTATATCTTGTGTATACTAATGGGTACCATTCTGATCGATTTGACAGAATTTGTTATCGCTATCAGATGGCGGAAATTCCGGTAGAACCTGCAGGAGCATGTTCAATTTATTATGACCATTGTATCGCAACCTGCTGACAGGCATCAATAATTTACTCTTCGTCATCACAGAATGCTCGCTCGAATTCTGAGTATCTCATTTAGATCTTATACTTGCCAACATGTTAGTAAAGACTACACCTAGCAACACATGGAAAAAAACTATATAGAAAAGAAAAGAAGACGATTCACATCAAAGACAATACACCCTTCACCTTCCCTCCCACCTTTCCTCCACCTCCTTACACACCTCCACCTCACCCTGACCCGGTTTGTCGGTGAACACTATATTCATCATTGCAGGATTCATGATTGATTTTTAGAGGGTCCACGTCATGGCGCCATCGGGGAATGAAGGGCCAGTGAGGATGTCGTCTATACTTTTTGGGTGCACGGTGGTACATTTCTCAGGGTGAGAGGAAGAAGAAACAAGATCCATTAAGCGCTGTTTGAGTGAGCATGAGGTGGAATCAGTCATCTGGAGGGAGGAGGAACGTGCATTTTCCCTCGACAACCTTGCTCCTCATGTCATGGGTTATGAAGACATCTGGGCTATTATGAGGGCTTAACCTAGCACTAAACAGCGACAACTCATCTTGCATACCCCTTCATCAACTTTAGGAGCTGGCTGACAGCTACTAATAAGTCTTGGCAAGCGTCTTTATCTGCAGAGTGATTTGTTTCTGATGTGGAGAGGCCTTAAGGGGCTGATTTAGTGAGGATGTAGCTGTATTGTGGCCTTTGTAAGCAAGCTGGATTACTTGCAGACATGCAGGGTTTACACCCCAGAAAGGAGTGAGATCAAGGTTATATCCCTCTGGGAGCTGGATGTTGTGCTCTTGGATGTAAGCTCGCCTGCTGGGATTTAGAGCAAGGATTGAAGGGATGAGAGTAACGTACCATCTATTGAAGCTCGGTGGAGGTGCTCTTGAGTATCTGCGGTGGTACTGGCAGACTGCTTCTGGTAGTGTTTTACTGGTATGTGCGAGTTTTGCATTCCATTCCTTTTCCATGGGTTTGGTGAGGTTGAGGATAGGGTGTCTACTACCTGGGTGTACTTGGAGTAGATTGTCTGGATGAAAAATGTGGGAGGGGTGCTGTTGTGATGGTTCCAGTATATCTAATATCTCATGCTGGTGCAAACCAGTGTACTTAATATGCTCGAGGGGGTGCACTAAAAGTAGAGATAATGAATATCACAACCCGAGACCTTCATTACCAGTGCTAATGGCTACGACATTCATTAGAATGAGGTTGGAAAATCTAAAGACGGAGCTCCAGAACCTAGTACTGCATGCCGACTCACGAATCACGAGACCTGGGGCAATGATTAACAGATCGTGAGCTGCCCAGTACCCTTGAACAGCTTTATGACCCTGAGAAATGGTGGGAGGTTCTGCAGGTGAGGAATTGAAGGCAGTCATCATCAGCAAATTAGGGGGTCAAGCAGAACCAGAGCATGGCAGCTGCACTGAGCAAATTCTGTTTCCGAGCTGTGCTGCAGTATGTTCGCTGGAAATAGCTCATTCTGCATCAAGCATCAGTGTGCCGATGTCACAGAAGCCTTACCAAGACTGCATCACTTGACGCGGCCTTGGGTCGCCTCAAGTCTCAATCAGCAAAGCTAGCCAGAAATGCAAACTGAATACAAAGATGAATCTTTAGTGAAGCTGCCAGCGAAACAGTCGCATGACATCCACGGCAGACACGGCCAGTAGAAACAAGGCAAGGGTCACAGAATAAAACAGCTGTTCTTTACTAACGGCACGCAAATAGCATAAATGGAGCAATTTAGATTTCCAAATTACAGTGTAAAGTGCTGTCAAGAGATGGATTCAGAGATGGTTCAAATCAGTAATTCATATGGGAGAACCCACATATTATGAATTATATTCCTAACACCACAGGATTCCAGGGACGGCAGGTTCTGATGCAATGGTCATAATCAATTGGACACACTCCTGCAGGTTCTACCAAAATTCCGCCACCTGACAGCAATAACAAATTTTGCCAAATAGATCGGAATTGTGCCCATTAGTATACGCAGAATATAAAAGCTGACTGTCATTGTACAGTATCCTCAGAGATGTTATTCAAGATTCCCCCCAGATGATTCCGTATCGCCTTGCACAGAAAATGGGTTTCTCCCTACTCGCCGTTGTTGTTGCTTTGACAGCATCTATGTCTGTCAGTGCATGTGCAAAAGTAGGGCAATTATGCGAAACAGGCAATTGCTGCAATAACTTGGTTTGTGCCGCTAATGTGAGCAGGTCGCTGTGTAACAAGGATTCAACCGCATGACTCACCTGTGCCCCTTAGGGAGGAGATTTGGTCTGCAGGACGCGGTCCTAGCCTGCTTAAAATGAATCCGGCAGCTCAAGCGGCATGTCGCGATAGTGAGTCATGTTTCTGCTTTCGCAGCTTCGCTTTGTTTTGATGATGCCAATACCTAGTTCAGAGCCAATCAGTACAGTACAGTTGTTTTTGGAAATAGTTCGTCCATGTATCACATACAACAAGTTGTGTAGTAAATGCAGATTGCTGCTATGACATGGTTTGTGAACCTGACGTGAGTATGAGCAGGTCAATGTGCAACCAAAAATTCAACCACATAACTCACTCGCGTGCCTTAGGATACAGGAGCCAAGGTCTGCATGACAATTCAAAATTGAGCCAGTAGCACGAGTAGCACGTCGCGACATGTTAAGCTCGACCAACCTGGCTAAGTTATATAAGGATGGTCGATCTCGGAGAGAAAAAGCACTGAGTTTGAAAACTTGCAGTTGCCGATTGTGCCAGCGGTACTCCGATTCATGATAGTCTCCGTATCTATTACTACTTACTATTCGTGCATATATTCAATTGTAAAGATTGTGGCCTTGCAACTACGGATTGCGAGACCAGCTTTGTTCCACAGATGTCCCTTGCTGCGCTAGATGCACTTGACAACCTTTCGACGGATATCCTTGAGATGTATCCTGGCGCCAGAACATTGTGAACTCTTTTGCCCCACTCGATTTTCTTGCAAAAGAAACGAGTTGTGTCGACTCAGGTACCTCATATCATTGCTTGCATCAAGACACGTTGTTGTCAGAGCTGCGACAGGCACTGGCAATGATCCTTTCATTGTTCTCTCCTGACGAGATAGCAATCGCCGTCATACCATTACAGGCATACATTTCTTGGGCATCATTGCTTCAGAAGGACTTACTATATCACGTCAGTAGTTCAGTCTACGTTGCATTGTCATCTATCGGCATTAGTCTCTCGACGCCAGCAGAAACAAACAAACTCTCCATCTTCGTCGCATACATTGCAAACCGTCTCTCATCCTGCTCGTCATCCCATCTTGCAAGCACCCTATCCAACCCCTCATTCGCCCTCACGACATCCTCCCTGAGACCTCTCGCATACTCCATCTCATAGCGGCCCAAGAAATGAAAATTGATCAAGTTGGAAGGGTTGTCAGATTCTGAGCGCTGTTCTGCTAGGGTACGGAGGCGGCTTTGCTCGTATACGAGTCTGGCTTTGGGAGTAGGGGGTATCTGGATCAGCCCTGACCATGCAAGGGAGAGCCAGGTGCTGGTGAGGTCTGCGAGGGTGAAGGGGATAAAGGAGGTGGGAGCGCCTATGAATGCGAGGGTGGGGTTGTAGGCGTAGAGTATTTGGTTGTGGAGGGAAGGGATACGGGTGGGTACTGTTGTGCGTGATGTTAATGGTACAAGTGTGCGAGCGTGGGTCTGGGGGTCCGGATCTGGGCGAAGGACGCGAAGGTAGGGTACATGCGGATAGTAGCCTGTTCCGAATAAGACGATGTCAATATTTTCGATGGCGGTTCCATCTTGAACATGCACAGTTATTTTGTCGTTGTTGGTGGTAGTGTAGCGACTGATGGGGCCGATGTCTTGAATGCGGGTGTCGGGTAAGGAGGGAAATACAGAAATTTGGCGGGTGGATCTGTATATTGGTGTTTGGGCTACGGGCGCAAGCTGAGCGGCCATTTCGTTTGCAGAATTTGCATTTCCGATGACGAGGACACACTACAGGAATGTTGGTTTTTCATGGAATATAAGAAGGGAAAATTTGACTTTTCCTTGTGATCATCATCTGGACCTGTCCAATTGATGGCGTGCTGGACTTTGTTGTGTTGTTGCTGCTGCAACTCTCGAAGACCTGGTACATCTGGAAAATGGGAGTTATCAAACCAAACGGTAGTGATAACCACCGCATCCCAAGTTTCTTCCAGTACCAGATCACCTTTATTCCAATCTTTCATGCGGACCGTCCATCCACCGCCCTCCACCTCCTCCACTCCAGTGACCTCAAAGCTTAAACGTATATGCCCGTTCTCGATGAACGGGTGCGCAAATTCCTTGAGGTAGGTGTTTGTCTCTGCTAGCGTAGGGAATGGCTGATGTTCTCTGGGAGGTGCCGGAAAAGGGTGTTCTGAGAAGGAGAGAAACTCGGGTATGACATTGCCTATGAGACCAGGGTATGCGGGTGTGGACCATCGTGAGCGATAATTGGAGGCGTGGTTTTGATACCTTGTAGGATGGTTTTGTACTGCAGACTTTAGGTGGGCTAGAGTACGTGATGGACATACCAGACGCCGCCTATGTCGTCACGTCTTTCGACGAGCTGGACTTTGGTGAAAGTTCCGTGGTGGAGACAGTTACGGAGCGTTATGAGCCCGCATGGTCCTCCACCAATGATGAGCAGGTTCTTTGGTCGGAGAGCCATTTCCATTTCAAGCGCGGAAGTTTCACCTATTAGATGGACTGCACATATGGCAACTGACAGCAAAGTGCCGACACAGCAACATACATTATTCCCGACTCCCACAGTAGTGGGGGAGGGTTTTGTCTGCTATGATCTATCCTCGGTACCCTCGTCTCTCGTCTTCTTTGAGCTAACACTGAGCGGGTCAAGGAACATTCACTGTACTGTCACTAATATTTTTTTACGTATGTATTTTGCAACAAACGTGCCGTTCAAAAGCATTCAAAGTTCTCTACCAAATCGTGCGTGGGAAAGTAAGTCCTCCCGTAGGAAACTGAGAGACCAAGCAGAAGCGGTAGAATAAAACTAGGTATACAAAAAATGATCGACGTTGAGGCTGTATACCATGCACATGTTCACCGGAGCTCAGTCCCTAATCAAAATTGAGCTTTGTCCGGCTTGACTTTAGCCTTCCTCATTCCTTGCAGTCCTTTTGGTCTTGGTTAGAAGCAGTTTCGCAGCCGAAAACTCATTGAGCGAAGGCAGCGGAGAATCTGCATCTGTCCTGCTGCCATGGACAGGTACCATAACCTTGAAGCGCGTCAGTGTAGCGCTCGAGTTGAACTGGTAGTCCAATTAGGCGAGTACAATTCAGGGTGAGCGCTGAGCAGCAAAGCGATATATTCGGCAAAAAACGCCTCATCAACGCGACTGTCGGAACTTCTTTAAATTACGGTAAAGTTCAAACTCACTTTTAGTTTTTGACGCCTGCAGGGCCTTGATCGAAGGGGCTTTCAATTTTTTTTGGAAAACAAGGTGCATATTACTTTCCACTGCTCTCAATTCAAAGTATCTTGAAATGTTGCATTCAGAGGCCTGGTTGCTGTTCTTGTGGAAACTTACTGCCCTATTCAATTCATGCGGTACGCGTTCGAAAGGAGCACCACACCTTGACCGCGTTCCAGAGCGCCTATTGCGCTCAGACAAAGAAGGTGACTACTTGCCGCTCAGATACCTCATGTATCTCAGGGTGCATTCATAACTGAGGCCCTTCTAGGTTAGTGGATGAAGATAAGAGGTTAGGCAAAAGGATTCTTTGCAGGAGGTTCTGATTTCTGAGTGCTTCTTGTGGGAATGGTTTGCCAATAGCCGCTCATATCTGATGTGTTAGTCATGCTGCTGACCCGTGCACAATGCACAGGACAGGTTGAAGCATGGTGTTCATCGGTTCCTTGGTGTGCTGACATGATACCACAACCAGATATAAATTCAGAATTCATGCGGGAATGAACTGACTCCAACTCAGCCGCATCATGACACACCACACAAAACATTCTAATGCTCCTCGAGATATATAAAAAGGTACAGCTTTGCTACGTGTAGTGCCTGATCCCATGTAAGTTTTGTTCATGTCCTCTTTGTTTCTCTGGTTTGACCGGATTATACTCTTCCCAGATACCGACATGCGGCACCATCGGGACCATGGCCATGGATGAACTTGGATGTCGACTCTGACTTGGCTGCCAGTGATACGACCGTCATGGATTAACCCTCACTGCCCTGGCTGGACTACCCTCAGAACAAGTTCAGGAACTGGACGGCAGATCCAGTACAGCGAAGTGAGATGTTTGAAAAATGTTCAAAGAATAAATCTAGCACTATTTACTGGATGGATGTGCGTGACTCCGAAGACGTCACCAAGAGGTTTACCGTCCCAGATATGGGGGAAAACGACCATGGTACTACAAAAGTGCCGATTGAGGACCCCCAGAATAAGTTTTGGAAAATGTTAGAGCAGAAAGTGAGTCTCATGTTAAAGTTTGTATGTCTGTTAAATAAGATGGGTTTTGTAGCGATCAGAGGGAATCCGAGTGGGAACGTTGTTTGTGGATGATTTGACGTCACTGGTCTTACGCATGCTAGGGACAAGGTATATGGCGTCTTTTACTTGTCTACATGCTCTGAGACCTCATACATAGATACAACATCGAACCATTCTTTTTCACGTCCTCCCTCAATTGGATACCCTCACGATATCAGGAAGCGCCTCGTCATGGAGAAGGAGATCGTAAGTCTAAACCTTGCATTTTGAGTCACATGGCTAATGTGAGTAATAGATGTCACTATCACCCTGCCATTTTTACGATCACAACAGAAATCACAATCGCCAACTGACCCTAAACCATTGGATTCCAAGACTAGTGAGTGGTTCATCACCTGCTATAGTCATTTGATTTACCTCCGGCAGATACCCCGATCGATATCCAAGCTCCCTTTTCGACAGGCGGTATGTCTATTCATGTCCTCACATCAATACATTCACACTAAAATGACCTTGCTAGGTGGCCACATGTTCTTCATTGATCTCCTCGCAATCCACATGGTCCGCGGGAAAGAAAGCACTATCATCTCCTATCATCCCGAATCTACAGGGCAGCTAACATCTGCGAAGCACCTCCGCTCGCTCATACAGCTCGTGGGGAAAAGTGTGTACTGGCAAAAAATATTTGACAAGTCCAAAGACCCGACATTTCTCTTCCTCGCATTTTTATGGTATGCGCTATATGAATGGGACGAGTCCCTTGATTCGCTGTACAGCTATGTTAGCGAGCTGGTATGTGGCTCTCGCGCAGCATGGAAGTAATGTTACTCAAGCACATCCAGGAATTACAAGTACTGCATCTGGACAATATCGCACTCACACATGACCTTCATGTTCTTGAAGTGCGTCTTTTACACTATCAATCACTCCTCCATGGCTTTGAGGTATCAGTAAAGTTTATCGAGACGAACCCCAATCCGGCCATGGAGGTTGCCGCCAAAAAAGGGCGTATGGAGTCTGGTGCACTTATGAAGAAGGAATGCAAGAATCTACTCAGCGAGATTGATCGTCTGGAAAGGCGACAGAAGATGCTGAGCAGTCGGCTGAAGAATGCTATGGAACTTGCATTTGCGATCGTCAATACTGAGGACAGCAGGCGGATGCAGAGGTTCACATACCTCACGATAGTCTTCCTACCAGCGAGTTTTATTGCGGTAAGCCTAGAATTCTTATGGACAGATCATTTCTGATTGCGTATGTCCTCAGTCTATCTTTGGGATGAACGTTATAGAGATCAACAATGGGACACAAACACTCACTCACTATGCGGTGGCCACCGTTGTGCTCACGCTTTTAACGATTTATATCATCATCATGCTTCAGAAACAGAACAGCGTCCACAGACGCGAGGCTACCTTGCTGCAGCGCGCAGTGTGGCCCATTCTCTCTCTACAACA